CCATGACAACACTGCCTGTAGGCATGTCTAATTTTTTAGCCGTGCCTTGAACCCTACCGAAAAATAATTGTCGACGATCATCACAAAATTCATCACGCGTCCCACTAATTTTTCAAATCAGCAAATTCGGGTGCAACAAATCGGTTCCAACCTCTATTGCCGACAACTATTTCATTGAAAGCCATTTCACTGACAAAGTTATCCTGGTTTATGTTGAGTTGGCCTGATTTATGCAATTTTGTTTAATCGAGAAGACATCTTGTTGGAAAATTTCTTTTGAGAAATATCTTTTCAGGGAAATATATCAAAATATTTGTCTGTGAAAAGGGTTTTGTCGGTAAAAAAAGTCTGTCGAATAAAATTTTTCAGAAATTCAGGTTGACTCGAGGAATTGGTTGTGTCGGGAAAAAAATTTGGTAAAAAAGTAAAATATACTGTCAGAAACATGTCTTGTCGGGAAAAAGAAATAACGGAATTATGGGATCGGGAAATGGTATTTCGGGAAAGTGAGAATTGACGTAAAAGGTTGACTGTATTGGGATTAGAAAATCTACTCTTATTTCGAAATAACGCACATGGGTGTATTGGATTTGGAAAATCTACTCTTATTGCGAAATAACACACGTGGGTGTATTCGAAATAACGCGCAGGTCAATTAATTATCGCAGGAGGGCGCTATTTCGCGCTTATACGGTATCTAATGTTAAAGAAGTTGGCAATAAAGGATTTGATTATGTATATTTAGCAACTTGGTTGGATGGTATGCAAAAATAGATTATAATTGTGTGAACCATCTCGTACAAAACTATTGATTTTTTGTGTTGAAATTTGATTGTTTTTTCCGGGTAGTGACGTATACAGCATACTACATCACTCACTATCTCAAGGCATTATAACTTCGAGCCGTAATGCCGTAAGTAGTCAATACTCTGAGAAATCCAGCATCATTACTTAGCAGCAATTGAAATATCTTTGGCCATGTCTCTAAATGTTTAATGCTGAAATCATTTTTTATTTTTATGATATAATTCTAAGCACAATCGCAACCGCAATCACTATCACTATCATTTATAAAAAAAAATAATAATCATAGCGATAGGGTTCACAATTTTGCAAAGCGCAATAAAAGATTTCAATATAAAGATATTTGTTGTAGGCGAATACGGAATATCTGTAGATTCGGAATTAACTTATTGCGCTTTGCAAAAAGGAGTAACTTCTGCAAATCATTATTTATAGACGATTTTTCGATCCTAAGGGAATTTTACAGGTTTCCAATAGCTAATATTACTATGATTGATAGACAATTTAGAGAGTTTAACCACGAAAATCACATGGTCACCTTTTTGCGAACCGGATCCAATCAAATGGATTTTGACTTAATTAGGAATTGAATATTTAAACTATATTTAAAAGTATATATACGAAATTAAGTACGTACATTATTTTTTTAGGCATATTCGGTACTAGTGCAACATTCAAATACATGTGACGATCTGACATTTAAATTTAAAAGTCAGCCCATCACATGTATTTGAGTTTCAAATAATAGTTTGATTTTGCCGAGCACTATTCGGTACTACGTGAAGACCATATAACAAAATTAGGACGTTTTACATTTATTTTCGCTTTATTTTTTTGCAATCTAATTTTATGCCAGTTAGCGATAAAAATATTCTTTCGTTTTTATCTGCTGTATTTTCATGCTATTAGTATTCAACTAGACTGTAATTTCATTTTATATTGTAGGTAGTATTATGAATTACACTTCTTTTCGTAAATTAAACGAATATGAGCAGTGTTGGCAATTTTAACGTCCAAACAAAATTTGTTTGGCCAGTTAAATTGCCAACACTGAATATGAGTGACGCCAATGGAAAATGAGACATTGGTTTATCATTGATTATTTATTTAAATAATAATCAATGATAAACCAATTATTACATTGCCCCAATCGGGAAAGTAGTTTCCGGGGAGTGGTTGACGGGTAAACCTTCTGTGAGACAAGTCTCTGTACGGCTGTAAAATTTGTTAATTTACTGTAAATTTTTTCGGTGAAACCATTTTTATTGATCAAAACTTATTTTCGCATATCATATGTGTACATAAAGTATATTCGCAGTACATAGGTAAATATTTTAACGAGGCTTTTGATGTTATGGCGAAACTAGTTTTGATTGATTATAATAAAAATTTATAGTTTCTAGATACCATAAAAACGATACATTCGAATTAATTTTCTTCTGAATAACTTTATAATAATGAGAGTAACACTTACAGTTCGTTATGGATATGACATATGATGTCAAAAAAATATATGATTCATATGCACATATATGGCATCATTCCATTCTAAAATCGACTTAGTATCTGTCAATTAGAGCTGTACTTAGAAATAGTCCGTGCACATCGAGAAAATTTTGAATACATATATTTTTATACACCACGAACGATCGACCTAGCATAGTCGACTTAGCCGATTTTTAAATTTACTGTTGCCGTTACATAAATTGTTCGAAAATTGATTCAGTGTAGCCCCTGCAGAATCTTATCTAAATTATATATTTAATCAAATGCAATTATTATTATCGTGGGGCAAATTGGACAAAAAAAAAGCTGCGCTACAATTTGACATATCAAATTAGTTATTGACAATTTTGAACATACGCCCAATTGATGTCCAAAGCCATTGAAAAGATTAGACGATAGTTGCATGAATTCGGCTGAGATGAAGTAGATAATGTTTGAATTCTGTAATTAAAATTTACAAATTTTTTTCCTTCCCATCATTCAGCTGTTATTACATAATCTATATAGCATTCGAGTTAAAGTTCACGGCCTAACGTTACGTCAATCTTACAAAACCCTAACTAATTGCAGAATTGCTTCAATTCTCTTGCATTACATTGAACACGATTTATTTTGTTTACATATTATCCAATTGCCTTTATAAGTTTAATACTTTTAAATGAATTAATACCGATTAGCAAACTGAAGACAAAATCGATTAAAAGAATCAATTATTTGTAGGAGAATCATTACTTTTTATTGTTGAAAAAAAATTTTTTTTTTGTGAATCATATCACAACATAACGTAGCATCGCAGATTGGAGATCGATGAGTGCATTCTCGAAATGAAACTTCCCCAAATTATGTACGAATGATTTATTTATCGTTCTGATTAAATCATAATGATTAGTCGGCAAGCTAACCCGATTTCCGACTCGAATCTATGGATCAATTAGTAAAGACCAAGTTTCTATCATGCTTATTTTATATCAATATAACGTTGCACAGATTTAAAATTTAATAAATAGTTATTTATCGTTAACTTTTTTCCATTTACCGCTACGACTTTTCAAACCTACACTCTAAAACATGTCCATTCTTACTGACTCTGTTCCAGAATCTCATGCTAATGATTTGGCCTTCTCAAAAACTTTGCATGACCATGAGAAGTCTCGCAATGGCTTAGTATCTACCATTTTATCAAAGGACAAAACTGCTTTTGAAACTGTGGTGAATAATTACCTAGGCTATTGGGTTGGAAAAGATTCCATGACTGAATCCGAAGAGGAGAAAGAAGCGAGGAAAAATAATTATACTAATATGACTAATTCGTATTATAACATTGCTACGGATTTTTATGAAGTAAATTGTCTTTATCCTGTCAATTAAAAATGAATTCTTTCATTATTCTTACGAATTTTTTTTTTTAGTATGGATGGGGCGAATGTTTTCATTTTTGTAGGTTTGCTTCCGGTGAAAATTTTTATCAAGCCATAGCACGACATGAACATTATTTGGCAATGCAATTGAATGTAAGACCCGACATGAAAATTTTGGATGTTGGTTGTGGTGTTGGTACGAATTTTATCTTTTTTTATCTTTAATTTTTTTTGCCTTATAAAAAAAATTTTTTTTTTCTGAAATAATTCTGTTTTTTTTTTTGTAAAAAGGCGGTCCAGCACGTGAGATTTGTCAATTTACAGGTGCTCACGTTACTGGTGTTAATAATAACGATTATCAAATTTCTCGAGCAAAGAAAGCTGCTGCAAAACGAGGTTTAGGAAAAAGTACAGACTTTGTTAAAGGAAATTTTATGGCAATGCCTTTTGAAGAAAATTCTTTTGATGCTGTTTACGCAATTGAAGCTACTTGTCATGCACCTGTATTAGATGGAGTATACTCTCAAGTTTTTCGTGTTTTAAAACCTGGTGGTTTGTTTGCCTTTTATGAATGGTGTACTACTGATAAATACGACTCTAATAATCCTGAACACAGAAGAATCATTCGTGGTGTTGAGGTAATTAATGTTAATTAAGAAATTATTTATATCCGTTTAAATATTTAACTTTTATATTCTTTCAAATAGTATGCTGATGGTATTCCAGAACTCTTTCCAACCCATGTTGCCTTGCAAGCACTTAAAAATGCTGGTTTTGAAATAGAATTGGCTCAAGATTTAGCCGTCAATGATGACCCCATACCTTGGTATTATCCTCTTGAAGGGAATTTTAAAGATGCTCAAACTATGAGTGATTATTTTACCGTTTTTCGTATGTCTAGATTTGGCAAGTTTTGTACCAGATCTTTGGTAAGTAATTAATGTTCTCTCATTCTCTATATTAACTCGTTTCTAATATGCATATATATATATTTATTAAATAATTTAAGGTTGGCTGTCTTGAAACATTCGGCATAGCACCTAACGGCTCACTTCAAACTCAATATGTACTTGAAACTGCTGCTGAATGTCTCGTGGAAGGTGGAAAATTGGGAATTTTTACTCCTATGTATTTGATGGTTGGCAGGAAACCAATTGATTTGTAAAAATTAGACTACAGTATTATATAGTAATAAATAAATAAATAAATATATATAATAAAAAAAAAAATAAATAAAATTATCTAAAAATATTTAAATCGTGCATTTTTACGTAATTTGATGTGCATATAACGATAAGATCTACATTTTTTTCTCGACAAATTATCTTAAAAATGTTTTTACCACCAGTTCAACATGGAGCAACGGTACTTAATCGTGAAATATTCCGACGTACAGTTGAAGTTATTGGAGTACGAGTACCTACAAACTCAGTAGCAAAGTTCTTAAAAGTGTTAAACAAGTAAGTTTGACGAAAGTTTATATACGTTTTTTACTTTCGTTTTTTGTCTGAATTTTTGTTGGCATTTAAGAGATTTGTTCAATCAACCAAAACTGAAAAATGTTGTGAACGATCCCGAATCATCGAATACAAAAATTGTCTTGTTGAATCCTAAGGTTGAAAGTCTAGGTATTGTCTAGGTACATTCAAGTCTGTCTAAACATTAATTTTGAATGAATGATATTATATTAAACTTGTGCTGCGCAGGATCATTCTGTTATATACAAATAGTAATAGTATCGCATTTTACCTATTTTGTATAGAACTAGACAATATATCTAGCGAGACTAAAAATTTCATAAATAATGAAGGACTTGGTATCATACGGCATTCAGTTGAATTGAATTATGATTATTGGGGAGCTGGTAAATATTTATAATTATCTATGATTACTTTTTAGATAATATTTTAACTGTGTAAAACTACTTGTACACTGAATGCTAAGACGATATAATTAAAGCAATATTACCAAGTGGTGTTGAATCACCAACATCGTTTACGCAGGTTGGTCATATTGGTAAGAATATTTCTTGTTTGAAAGGAGATTGTAATTTTATTTTTAATTAATATATCTTTACTTATTCAATCTTAGCACACATGAATTTACGTGATGAATTTCTCCCATGGAAATATATAATTGGTCAAGTCATTCTTGATGTAATATAAATATATATATATTTTCATTATCTTTTTCTTAATACTAGACGGATGTCAAATGTCTAATTTTGTAAATTTTAATTAGAAAAATCCAAAGATCACAACCGTTGTCAATAAGACAGACACGATAGACACGACCTATCGATTTTTCAAGATGGAAGTTTTGGCAGGAGAAAATAATATGATTGCAGAAGTGGTTTGTTATAAACTATTCTTTATAGTTTAATTGCAACAAAACTCAAATTTTAATGTTGTTTATATATTTTCTGTTATGTTAGAAAGAAAGTAATTGTAGATTTCGCTTTGATTTCTCACAAGTGTATTGGAATTCGCGATTACATACTGAACATAGCCGTTTATTGTCATTGTTTAAAAAGGGTGATTATATATGTAAGTGAAATTTATTAGTATGCATGAAACATTTAGTTCTTTGGCATTCATACCTATCATGCTTATCTATGTCAATTAAATTTATATAGGTGATGTGTTCGCTGGTGTTGGCCCATTTGCAATTCCAGCCGCTAAAAAAGGGTGCATTGTGTATGCAAATGATTTAAATCCTGCATCATATCGTTATCTTGTGGAAAACATTAAATTAAACAAAGTAATTATTATTGTTTTGCATTCCATTAACTAAACGTGTAATATATCTTTTGCCTGGTTATTGTTTTTTTTGTTAGGTACACGATAAAGTTTATCCATATAATTTGGATGGAAAATTATTCATAAGCAAGGCCGTGCTGGATCTACAAAAAGCATATGATGACAATGCAGAATCATTTAAAACATCAAAAGTAAAAAGTAATTCGACATTACAAAAACAGATATCTTGTAATTTCAATCATTTTGTCATGAATCTACCGGCAACAGCTATAGAATTTTTGGGTAATTTGATAGTTATTATCTTCTTAAGTACTATTAAAAATTGAGAATTTATGATTGATCTGGTTTTATCAACTAGATGCGTTTAAAGGCCTCTGGAAAGATAAGGAGGCATTGTTCAAATCTTTAAATTTAGAGCTACCAATGATCCATTGCTATTGCTTCTCTAAGAGTGATACTCCCGAGCGCGAGACTGTTGAGGTAAAAATATTGAATTATTCAGAGAATGTGAGTATTTCATTTGCTAATTTTTTTGAATCGCATTAGCGGATCAATGCAGTTTTAGGTCATCCTTTACAAGAAGATACATATAAAATTTATTTTGTTAGAAAAGTGGCTCCTAATAAAGACATGTTTTGTGTCAGCTTCCGACTGAGCCACGCTGTTGCTTTTATTCATGGAAGGTATTTTCCATTTTAATATTAGAATTCATGGCAGTCTTCTATATGCATTTATAATGAACGCCACTCACCTATACTTGTTACGATTTTTTAGTGAAAAACGTAAACAAGACGTTATAAATGATGCACCTCATGTAAATGATAGTGTATCTGTTGAAGATGACGATATTACTAAACACGTTAAAAGATACAAATTAGAAGATCAATAAATAAACGAATGTTTATAGTATTTAATAAAATTCAAATTGAGACATTCCCGTTTTTAATATTAAAATTAAATTGCGAGTTTTTAGAGTTTTACTCTGTAATTGACTAGAAATAAACGAAGCGAAGCGAAAGTTATTAAACCTTATCTACATAATTTCTGAAGCTTTTGGTCTCCGGTTGATTTAGGTTCAGAAATTGAATCTAATTAGGACCAATGTTTGGATATTAAAATTTAAGCTTTTCTTGATCATAATAATGATCGAATTTAATAAATTGGATAATCTCATGTAGAGATGCGATCCGGATATCCTCATCTCTAATCTATGTTGGAAGGGATATATAGTAAACCAGTATAGTATATCCTGTTAGATGAGTATATAATAAATATACCGTGACATTTTGCATAAATGATATCATTTTATGACAAAAATATCAAGGCAAAAATTTTTACATGATAATATCAAATTAGCCACTTAATCCAGCTGGCATTAGAATTGTTCTGGCCTATGATCAACATAATTCGGCAGGCAAATGTTTTTTAAAACTTCTAGCGATGTTTTCTCAATAACTACTTGATTAAATTTGCTAAGAAATTTTTTATTTTATTTCTATAATATTGTAAAATCAAAATAAAAAAAATCTCATTAAATTTAGTTTAGTAGATGTTGAGAAATCATTGCGAAAAGTTTTTAAAAAAAACAAAAATCGGGTAGAATTTTCTTTCTTCGAACTTTAGGCTCGACAACTAATTCCAAATTTGATGAAAATTTTTTTATTTTAATTCTGTGGATTCATAGAATTAAAATAAAAAACTTTTGATCGAATTTGAATAGCAGGTTGTCGAGAAATATTCATTAAAAGTTAAAAAAAAGTTTGACCACAGCTTCTTTTTAAAGACTTTAAAACTTTGAACGAAGATTACTCGGCACTTACCTAGCCAAATTCGATCAAATCCAATTTTATAAAAAATTTTCATTTAATTTAATAAATATATAAACAAGGTCTTACTTATAGATGCTGGTGAAATTAATTTCACCAATTCACCAATTCACCATCAATTTCACCAATAGTGGTGAAATTATTTCACCATATTTCACCAACATCTATAGTCTTACTATTAATATTAAAAAAAAAGCAAATATTTAAATTAATCTTTTTAAATCTATTTAATAGCAAAATACTGTAAAGTGATTAAGTTGTCTAGCAGCAAGTATAGAGTTTGAATTTTACTGGTGATAATTTTTAAATTACTACTTATATAATGACTAACTACTGTTAAGTTTAATACAAATTCTATTTAAAATTTAATAATTAAATTTTTAAATCTATAACTTTAGCAATACTAATCTGCAAAATATATTTATATATAATATATAATATTATATAAAAGAATATAAACTAGTTTAGATAGAACCCCAAATAAATTCAGGACCCCAAAAACATTACAAAAACTAAATTTGGAATCTTATATTAGCTCTATATTATATTATGTAAAAAAAAATTCTTAATACCCGCACCTTAACCCTAAATATATCCAGGGGTGGTGACGATCACCGCCGGTTATTTGTAGTAAACCTCATTTCTTTAATGATTTTATTAAAAAAAATTACAACTTTTATAAGCATTCTTTATTGCTTCTGATTTCTAATAATAGGTAAATTTCTTATATTCATTCTTTTCAACTCTAATTTTATTTTATAACAACACCCAATATTACTTTCTATCAGTTTTTATTATCTTTGTAAAAATGAATACTTTATGTTTATCATTTCAACTCCAATATCATTTTCATTTTTTTATATAAATACCTTATATTCATTCTTTTTAACTCCAATTCTATTACGGTAAGCAAAAACTCTATTAGCATTCCCATTATAATTGATTGTTGATAATAATTAAATCTCTTTTCCTCACATTTAACATAATAATAACTTGAAGAATGATTTGAACTATAGAACTTATTTGATTATGAAAACAAAAATTAAATTTTATCAGGTTAAATTTTGATGCCAGATTTAAAAACTCAGTCACTAGTTCTAATCGGCAAACAGATAAACTAATTCATTTAGCAAAAATAATAGCCAGAGTAAATTCACCACCCAATTTTTTTTCAAATCGTGTAATATTGAACAAGTAGAGTTTGAAACTGGCTTTATTTTTCATATGTTAAACCCGGTTTTAATCGGTTTTACATATGAAAAATAAACCGGTTCCAAACTCTACTAACAAGCATTGTTTTATTATGTCATTCTGGCTTAGAATAATAGTAAAATGATACTCATTAGAATCATATCTCATGATTTGAAAAAAAAGTTAGGTGGTGAATTTATCTCGCTAAAATAATCCAAGATTTTTATTCAAATTTTTTATTTTAGTCATTGTAATTATTGAACAAGATATGCATCATGCAAGTGCAGTGGGCTATGCGAATATAATTAATTTTTGTATAACAAATTTTAGGACGGAATTTAATATAGGTAGTTCTATAGAAAAATTAGTGTAATTTTTTTTTTTTTACTTGTTGCTTTATAATAGCAATATACATGTTTTACCTACTCACTAGTGTGGTGATGCACGGTATGTATTGGGGTTATGGTCACAAATAACTTATAGTAAAAGATTTTATAAATTATTACTGTATTATGATACGTACACAGTATGTAGTTAAAGTTGTGTTAGTTTGCATTGGAATTACAGTTGTAAATTCTATCATGATTTATCTGTTATTGTAAAAAATTTTGCTATGAAACTTGCTATGATGACGCACAGCTTATATTGGAATTACAGTTGTGAATTCTGCAGTATTATGATAATTGTAGTAAGCATAATAAGTGGTGGTTAAGATTAATTAGTTTGTGTTGGAATCACAGTCATAAATTTACTGCAAAAAATTTGTTACAAAACTTACTATTGCGATGACACAGTATGTGGCAGGGATAATTATGATTTACTATACAAAAAAATTATGAAAATTCCTTGATATTATAATGCCCAGCATTTGGTTGAGTCGTGAATTCTGCCATCGCTTACTATATCCAATGTTAAAAATTTAGCACAAATATGCTGTATGAAAAAATTTTTTATACAGGAATGTTATTTTATTTTTTGTGCAAAAAACAATACATGTACAACGAATTTTTAACACTGACTGTATCATGATTAAACAATTTTTAATGAATTTTACACTAATCTTAAACATATTTTTGATAATTCTAACAACAATGACTATAATCAGTGTTGAAAATCTTATATTCTCATGTTCTCATACCTTTATATTGAGAACATTCGATATTTTATAAATGTTTTCTATATAAATATAATACAGTATAATAGCATAATTCTAGATGGAACTAAAATTAAAAATCGAGTGAAGTTCCGAAAAGTGTCTGATAGTTTCCAAAATAATAAAAAAATAAAGATATAAATTTTACTGATGAGAACATAAATAAATTTCTGAGAACATTAAATTAAATAAATCTATTCTCATGAGAACATAAATCTCAACAAATTTCCAACACTGACTATAATTACTTTGTCAGTTAAATAAGATGAAGTAATTTATCTATGAAAGAATTGATTGTTTGCAAAATAAATTTATTAGGTGTCTACAAAGTATAAAGTAGGAGCACCGAACCCAAACATGTTTGACAAACAAACCCAGACTGAATTCAGACTAGCTTTCAGGATTGTGATCTGTAATCTTCAATATTGTGATCTTTCAGGAATTTTTTTTTTAGAATTTAGTATCTTCAGTATATTGTAAAATTCCATTGTAAAGTTGTAATTTATGTAACACAACCTTACACATGGTTTGGACTGTTCCAAAATAGTTTAAATGGCAATAATAACAATATTTTGTCAATGTTATTTCTACAGTATTCAAAATATTTGTAAATATGAGAAATAATACTATAATTAAATCCAAAAATATTTAATTTTTTTAACCGCTAAATAGCAGTTGTAATTTCTGGCTTTTTATCCATCCTTCAGGTTGGGCTCGTGAAAAAAGTTCTAGGAGAGCCAATCAAAGTACATAATATTGGCATTTCTCACTTTCATTTAGTAGTTTTATTATTTTTTTGTCAATCAAAATTGCCCTTGCAATTTTCTCATAAAGGCATTCTTTAGAAATAATTAGTACTATTGCTCTAAAGATTGTTTCCTAGGACCTAGCCTAACGGCATTGAAAATGATATTTTCTTGTCCGTATTGACATACAATCCACCTAAGTTTAGCTTGCCAATCTTTGGCAATTTTTGACCATTTTTTGCAACTGATGGCTAAGTCTTTAGGAAACTTAACATATTGAAAGATACTAATTAGAATTTTAGTTGGCAATGAATTCAACTTAGAAATTGATTTCATGAGACTTGTTTGAAGGGTGTTGGCTTGTATTTATATCTTCACTAAATTTTTGATTTTTTAAAAATATACAATAATTACAATGGGTTAATATAAATATAAATTATTATATTATTATTATTATATAACAGTAATATATTATAACCAGTATTGGCAAATAGAACAATAGAATAAAAGCTTGATTTTTTGTCTTTATATAAAAAAATTTTTTTTGCAAATATTTAAATACATATTGTTAGACCATTAGTAAATAATAAATTTAAACTATTTTTATATTTAATTAGTAAAATTTAATACTAAAAATTTACAATAGAAAAATAAAAAAATAGAAGCCAATAGAACAAACATAGTAAACGTGACAACCCTGATTATAACTATATTATATTATATATATATATATATATATATATATATATCCCATGGCCCCTAATATTCTTCTGTGAATATTTCTGATGATATTTTTATAATTACGTAATGCCGTGAAAATATCAAAAATTTTTCCATAACCATGACATAATCAGTAAAAATTTTAATCAGAAATATTACGGGTATAGGAACCATGGGATATAAAAGATATTTCACGGTGTGTTATGAACACAATATATTATCACACCATGGCTCTGCCATGCTAATCCATTATATTCACAACAGCCTATGAAATATCTATTACATATATAATACTAATATATTAAAAATACTAATTCTAATAGGAAAGCTATTATTTGTAATTTCTTTTTACAGCTTTCAATTGTTAAATAGTAAATTATGACTTCAAATAATAAGCAAATAACAAAAATAACAGCTTGTTTTTTTACAAATATTATACAGTATATAAAATGTATATTATGCTTAACTCTCCCAAAGAATATATATAATTTTTTCCTTTAACAAGATAGTATACATATAAAGAATATACTGTATTTAAATTCACTGCAACATTTTCCAAACATTAGATTGAATAAGTAAAAAAGACAGTTGCAAAAACCTGATTTATATCATGATTGAAACTTTTTTTACTTTGTTTTATATGAATAATTGAAAAAAAACTGCTTGTTATATCAAAGTGCATATTATAAAGTATTTAATAATTTGCATGTAATGTTTATAATCCCAATCTATATTAAGATCACAGGAATTAATGAGTAATATCTTTATCCGTATGTAAATAAGCAGAAACTTCATTTTCCCCAATAGATCAGGATATTATTATTATTACCACAATCGATTATAATCACCACCTTTATAAGATTATGGTAATTTGCAAAAAGGTATAACCTCTGCAGATCAGTTTCAATTTTAGAGAATTAAAGATTTCAAAATATAGATGTTATTGATTGAAAAATATGACCAATAGAGAATGTAAAATTTCTTTTTTGCAAACCACTATAAATTAAAAATTATAGATTGTTAATTATTATGAATAATTTTTATTTAGAATAATAACGATTAAAACTAATTAATTATAATCAATTATATAGCTATTTGTAATCAATTATAATCTCTTATAAAATTTATTGATGTCATGTATATATAGTGTCTTAAAACATATATTAAGTCTCTAAAGTTAGCAGTTAGATTTTCTTGCATACATTAGTAATTTCGGATGTAATATGGCATGTGTATAAAATTGTATATTTATAATTTTTGATATATTTGAATATATCGTAATAAAAAATTTTTAGTGTGCATTTTTAGCATTTTTTAGGGTTAGGCTTGTTGATAAGAGAATATATAAGGGTTTTAAAAAGTTAAATAGAAATTATTTTTACAATAATTGCATTGTCATATTCTTTCTATTTAATATTAATTTTCAATTTTTTTTATAATGACCAGTGTTAGAATTTTAGATATAAAATTTAACAAATTTGGATTTAACAAATTTGGACATATAAAATTTTATTTGAACAAATTTGGTCATGTTTTATTTGAACAGATTTTTATATGTTCATATTATATAGACCAAGCATTGTTTGGATCAATTTAGCTTTTTTTTATAATAATTACATTCAGGGATGGTGAATAATATCAGTTTGCATTGATTATATGTAAATCGATATTTTTAGGTAAAATTATAGATAAATTGATATTTTTTAAAAATTTTATGCTGTGGCCAGAATTATAATAATTCTGGCCGAGATTTAGAATTATGATTGATTATTGTTATCACTTAATGTCTTTTTTTTTCTATTAATTAAAAAAAAAGATGTATATGTATATATATACATATTTCGTGAGAAATTTCAAGCAAAAGGCCACTATTCCAAAAGCCTTATACAAAAAGGCATTCTTGTTTTTTTTTTATCAAATGTCACCCAAACATGTTACAGCATACTCTCATGCGCAAGAATTTTCAGAGGATTTTGTAGCTAACTCTGGGCTTTTAATGTGTCATTTCTGTTTCCACTCTGTGAATTGAAGAATCAAGGCAAATATTATGGCTCATATCAAGACAAATGGACATAAAACAAAAAAAAGTGTGGCTACTACTAATAAGCAACTAAGACAACCTATCTTGAATTCTGTCATTGATGCAAATGAATCAAAGAAGAATGCAATCAATAATTTAATTTGTGTATTTATTAAAGCAGACATCCTTTTGGAGAAGGTAAATAAGCTTAGAACATGGTTAAATTAATATTTACGTGAAGGTGGTAACATTCCTTTGGCCAGTACATTACGTCATATATATCTTCCTAGTGTTTTTAAAAACTATTTAATTACACTCAAGCAAATATATTCAGGAAAAAAAGTTTTAGTAATAGTTGATGAAACTACTGATAGTCAAGCATGAAGTGTTGTTAATATGTTATTTAATTATTGTAGATTTACAAAATTAGTAGTTGTAGATTTCTTAGAAATAGTCAACAATTCGACAATTGGGCAATTGGTGGTTCGAATTTTGGTTGAATAGAATATTCCATTTGGTAATGTATATTTAATCATATCAGATTTTGCAGCATACATAAAAAAGTGTGTTTGCGAAGTACTTAAACCAATTATGCTACAAATTATGCATCAAACTTGCTTGGCACATATATTAAATTTGATTAGGTAGTGTAAAAAAATAATTAAATTTTAATAAAGTTATTAATTAATTTTATACTGTAAATTGATTTTTTTAATTTATATTCTTTAATTATATTTAGTGAAGCATGGGTGTCTATTAAGCATTTTACTATAGTTCATACGTTATTAATAGAAATTAAAAAAACATTAGCTTCTGCAAAGAGTCGATGTGCAAGATATGTAACTTTTTTATACCAAAATGGAATCTTGCAACCAACTAATATTCTACTACCTAATGTAACACAGTAGAATGCATGGTATAAAATAGCCTTTTATATAGAAAAACATTTACAATTAATTCAGGATTTTTATATTAAAGAGTAAAAAGAAGATACATTGTTGTCATCGATTGAGAAAATCATAAATATCTTTACCAATCAACAAAATTATGGGCATATATATATATATTTAATATTTATTAAAAATTATAGTTAGCAATTTGTACACGACTTAGATTTTTTTCAGACTGAGAATTTGCCTATATTTCCATTTATTGAAAGTCATATTAAGCAATTGGAAAACACAATTAATATGGGAAGGTCATTGACAACTTTAACTTAACCAATGTCTGATATACTTCTTAAACTTAACACACAACTAGATTTATTTTATCTTATATTTCAATCTGCTTATCAGGCTGCATATAAGAAGTTTGTTGATCATATTAGTAATCATCCTGCACAAACCTTATTTCAAGAAGCATGAATCTTTGATTCCCGTTTTATTGCACTCTCCACTATTAATATAATATTTCATCATATTCTTGTATTCATGAATTGTCAAATCCTTCAACTAATCTAATTCAAGAATGGACAATTTATTGTAACTTTAATCTTGCTACAATTAAGTTTCAAACTTTAGATAAATTTTGGATCAAGATTGCTTATTAGCTATCTTTGTTAAGTGAAATTGTATTGGATTATATTTGGTTGTCTATATCTTTTTGCAGTGTAGAGCAAAGCTTTTCTACATATAACAAAATTTTAAGTGATGATAGGCAAAATCTTGGTGAAGAATCACTTCAAGCTCTTACAATAATATATTTTAATCAATGATTTTAAAGAGCCATGTTAATGAAATTTTATAAATAAAGTTTTATTACAAGTTTAATAGGTGTAGTATATAAAAATATAACCTTTTTAAATTTTGATCACGTTGCATGAATACTTCATTATGATTGGCTGAACTGAGAATATCGATATAAATTGATATTTTTTACCAAATCGATCAATATTTTTGCAAAATCAAATCGATATTATTCATTGTCTCTAATCACATTGTGAGACCGAAAACATGACCTGATCGCAAGCACGTGGCCTCGTGACTTGGGCATTCCAAATTAGGGAATTCCCAGAATTACGAGAATTAGAAAAATTAGGTGAATTTCCAGAATTAGGCAAAAAACGGGAATAAGGAGAATTACAATAATTACAATAATTACAATAATAAGTATAATTCTAGGAAAATGGCGTATTCTGTATATAAAAATAGATAGTGGGTTAATTATAAACAAAGGCCTTCTGGCCCTTCAAAAATAACAGTTAGATAGTAAGCTCTGATTCACATAATAATAAAGTACCTAAGTCATATAAAAATATCCTACCAACTACATATATTCTTTTATTAACTACTCATTCAAATATAACACACCTCTTTCAACTCTAAAGTAATCTAAGGCTTGGTTACATGGACCTCCTTTCAGTTTAGCAACAGACTCACCAATCTCGGGTCTGACAACATTATTGACGATGATTGTACTGACTAGTTCAAGATTAGAAATAACATTATTGATTGTGTGAAATAATATATTTTTATATAGTATATGTCAGTAAACTTACTGGTTTGACTGTTTCATGTGTCGTAATTGGAGATATAGTAGATATTCAGCTTAAGTTGTAAAAATTATGCCAACAGTTTTTACTATAATCATAATATCGTAATTTGGTTATTTTTTAAACATTTATATGCTAAAAGCATTATAATTTTATGATTGATTATTTAATTGATAAATAAAGTAAAAAATCAAATGTATTATATTATATCAGATGTCCCAAAAGTTCTTATACATGGACCCTTTTTTTTTAAAGCGACTTATATATAGAGATTATGATTATTTATGCAACACTTAAAAAAAAAAAAAGAAACCATGTATAGGAACTTTTGGGACACCTGGTATATTGGATGCGAGGCATCCCAATTTTGCAGGCCCTATCATAATATTACAAACATAGTGCAAGCAAGATTATTAATAAAAATTTTTTCCAATTTATTATTAGATTTTTCGATTTTACTATTTCCTATTAAATTATTATAAAAAAATGATATTATTTATATTTGTATTTCTTATGAAGTATTTTATATTTTTGAATTCTGTAAGCTATTTATGCTTTATGAAGTATATATTCAAAAGTAATAATGTTATATTTTATATATGATATATAAAAATTATAATAGTTATGATTTTATAGTTATTCATATAAGCTAAGTATAAATTTTTATCATTATAACTTTTATATTAGTATATGTAAATTCTAACATTGTTACTTTTTTTTTGAATATAAACTTCATGAAGTATACATAATTTACAGAATTCAAAAATATAAAATACTTCAGAAGAAATAAAAACTAGTACAAATATCACTTTTCTATAATAATTTATTAGAAAATAGTGAAATTAGAAAATCTGGAAAAATCACTATAAAAAAATTGATTATTGAATTTTCACTATGTAGTTTGCACTATGTTTGTGATCAAGCTGATATAAGATACCTATTATTGGATACAAATAAAGCATGTGCTCAATGACTAAAATATGTAATATGATAATTTTAAAAAAACCTGACCTTATAAGTACTTTGTTAGTATAATACTCTGTGTCTAAATACTATACAGTATATATAATTGCGTGAAGTGAATCAGTAAATCATATGATGTGTGATAGTCTAAATTATAAGAAATTTCTTTGTGAACACGTGTAGAATCAAGTTTAATATAAGGGACCCTACTCTAAATTCAATTGATTAATAATCAATTTTAATCAATTTTATTAATGAGGACCTTTATTTAATTTACTTGCTCAATTTATTACATATTGTCTGGAGGTGTAAGGTATACTTATCGGAACAAAGATATTAATTAAGTCTGTAATGCTCTTGCTTATAGGAAAAGATTAATAAATTTCAATTTCCTTATATACAATTTTAAGATCTTCCAGCTTACTTCCATTCAATAACAAAATTATTAATTAATTGAGTCAATTTTAAATCAATATACTAGTACTTATTAAATTGATTTAAATTCTGATAAATTAACCAATTTAAAATTCTGCCACAATTTACTCGAATCTATTTATGTATAATAGTTCTTTTTTTTTTTTATTACTGTGCTTTTCAATTTACTGCAATACTTGCACAGAAATTTACAAAATATTCCAAAATTCTTGTTTTTTAGTATAATATCTATTATTTGTTTTGTTGACCAAACAATAAAAATTTCTAATGAAGCCATTTTCGAATTTTATAAATCAATAGGATTTGAAAACAGCCTTAAATATTTAAATTAACTAAGTCGTTATTAAGATATCCTCATTAAAAGCTCAAAAAAAAAATATACACAATGATAGAATAAATATTATTATTCCTAGTTTTCCATGTAGTGTGTTAGTAATTGAAGTTATTTATTACATGTATGAATTTTTAAATACACCTTACTTCATTTTACACTTAGCCGACATCATGCCAAGTGACAATTTATCATATGTGCCTGCAACTAATAAAACGCTAACTCTAACCCTATGTGATGTCAGCTAAATGGGAATTTTTATTATACATTATATATACTGTATATAACATTATTTATCAAAATTGTGCGGAATGTATATTTTTAAAATTTTATACTTACTGTAATGTAAAAGTTTCCAATAAATAATATACATTCCATATAATACTGTATACTATACTTCTTTTACTGACTATACTATGCATGCTATCATAATACTTGTTGGGAAGCTATAGTAAATATCATCATAATTTATATATAAATGTGTTTTAGGCAAATAAAAAAATAAGATTTGCTATGTAAAAGTTTATTTTCTATTTGATAAATTTTAAAGTAAAAGGACTTAAAAGCTATATATTTAAGAGATAATTTTAAAAATAAAGCTATAATTGCAAGTAGTTTGTAAATAGAATTGTAAGAAAACTAGAAATCTAGTCTTGTTTGAATAAATCTTAAAATTAGAAACTTACTGTAGGCTTGTATTTTGAGTTTATCAAGAGTTTGTAGTTTTTTTATAATGGCAATTATTAAATAATTGCCATTTTTTAATCATGTTAGTAAAATTTATTACTTTATTCAATAGGAAAAATTTATAAAATCACAAATAATTAAGCAATTGGTGTTTGTAAAGAATATCAATGATTTAAAAATATTTTATTGAACTCTAATAAAATTTCAAATAAAAATATCACAAGTCGATGGCATGGAGAATATTCATATTGAAGACAATTCCTGTTCTATATGGTAATAAAATGATAAAGTCAATACAAATATTATATCTACAATATTTCTGCTACATAATATAACTATCATGAGAATTTCTATGAACAAATTAATTTTTCAAATATTTTTTTAGCTACTTAAGTGACTTTTTAGCAGAATAGCATTATAAAAAAAGCAATAACAATATAGAATATTGAATATTTGATAAAAATAACCTTGCATGAAAGTATAATGATAAAGGTTGCACAATTAGCTTATGATGTGTAATTTTAACTTCTTTGGCATAGTAAAAAATTACCTACCTAGTATTAGCATCACGATCAGTTACATATTATGGAGCTTAAATTTATTGCTGACATTAAAATTAATAATAATGATGACATTTAATTAATAAAATATATATATATTACGAGTCAAATTGGTTTTTGGGTTAAGTTAAACTTGACTCAGTTAAATTAATCAAATTTGAATACATGTAAATTTACTAATTTAACTCGGTCAAATTAATTTGACTGAGTCAAGTTAAACAATTTGATCAAAATAAATTATTTCATATAAGCAATATTAACTACGTACATACAAATATAAAGTTAAATACTGAAATAGATAAAATAATGCTATGCTATTTATTTTGACAGACTATGTTGTTGCTGCCATGATATCTACTACTACATTTTAAGTTATTTTTACTACAAGCACAGTGCTTAGAAAGACAATTTCCTTTACAATGACAAACTGCCTTACTTACAGATATACTACTTTGTTTAATAGTAGCTGTATGTAAAGAAAGTTGAATGGATGGAATTTCGGTTAATTCAGGATAGTTAGATGATTCTAATGGACCTATATCAGATACACAAAAACAAGTATCTAAAACACTATTAGTACAACCAAGCTTATAATACTCATCTTGAAGAATTTCCAATACTTTACAAAGTAAAAATTTCTGATCAGTATTAGATTAGTCAATTTTTGGAACTTGAACCTTGATATAATCTCTAATTTCAAAAGAAGTCTTTCTTTTTAAATTTGATTTAGATTCTATTACACTACAAATTATTTCTCTATTGTGCTCTAAGTTTTTTCATACTGTGTTGCGAATTTTTTGAAAAATAGAAATAGTTTTATAATTTTCTTTATCTTCGTTAGTTTTCTAAATATTAAAAATATTTTAATTTTTTATGATTATATATTTTGCTTATTAAATTACAAATACTTACTTCAATTTTATCTTCCATTTCACTTTCATATATATAATCTATATCATTATTGTTATTAGTTAAATCAACAGTTTCATTATTGTTATTAGTTAAATTAATAGTTTCATATGAATTTTAGTTATTGTTATTAATCTAATATAATAATAAAATATATTATTAAAATAGAAATTAATACGTAGTGATATGTAGAATTTGTGTATACAGTATAATTTAAAATTTTATCTGTTGTAATACATTAATTTTGGGTAATTCAAGATTTGAATCAATAGATTTATTATCATTATCATTATTTGTCATATTGAGATTATCATTTTTTAAATCTGGTTCAATTTTTAAAACAATATTCTCAGAAATATCTTCTTCACAAGTACAATTTTGTTGATAAAGTTCTTCAACTTTAGGAAGATTGCATCGAAATTTTTGCCAAAAACAACCTCATATGGTGTTATTTTGTTGCATGCGAATATTCTGTATTTATTGCAACTTAAAAATTATATAATAATACACATAATTAATTTTATTTTTAATAAAGTTACAATATTTAAAATTTTACATACAAATACATAAATTAAGCTTTGTACTTCTTTACAGAAATTTATAATTTTTAATAATATTGTAATTAAGTTGTCGCTAGATTGTTATTAAATTGATACAATTTATTTTTTATATTAATACAAAATTGCTACGACGAAGTTATGATTATGGTAACCATATTGTGACGATATTGTAACAAGATTTAAAATAAATCAAATTGCGATAATGCAAAAATATATTTACGATTACATAACTAGTTGGTTACTAAATTGATATAATGATGTTTAAATATTAAAATAATATTACTACGATGAAATTACAATTATAGTAACTACATCGTAACAATATTATAACAATATTGTAAAAACTTTGTGATGGCATTATAACCATTTACCAAC